CTCCTCAACTTGCGCGCGGAAGCGTCAGCCATGTTGAGCAGGGGTTGAATGGAACGACTCCTCTAACAAAATGTTCACCCGGTGTGCCGTAATATCCTTCTTGAAGCGAGAAGCTTAAAAAACGCAAATTTCTTACGCAGATAGTGAAGTTAGGAGTGCATTTCAGAGTTTGCCGATACTATCATCGTGATTTTTGAGACGTTATCTATAAAAAACAACTCTTATTTTTGCTCTAACAAAAGTTTGCAACAAGCCCATTCGAACTCCGAAGTAGGTATCTGGTATCACGCAGAATTTGAGGAAAGTTATTACTTTTCGCCTACCTCACTTGACAATTTCATTTCTTATATGAGCCTTTAAACGTGCGGGATCCTTTAGAAATTTGCCTCGTAAGTTCTTTGCAGTAAATTTACTAAAATTTTCACAAAAATCGCTCAAACGTTTTCTTGTAAACTATTAAATTGCCCAATAAATGTGGCAATAGCTGATATGGCTCGGTTCCTTTCTGCTGAACTTGGAAAACCAAAATAATCTGAGCAAAAAATAAAACCACAAGCGAGTAAAGGCGAGACTTTTCTTTTATGAGTTTTGTTTATGAATATATCCTGCAAAATACGGTACCTACTCTAAATACTCTACTACTAAATAATTTCTCTGCATTGTGCCATATTACTGGTATAGGAAAAGGGGGCGGGGAAAGGGAAGGGGGATTCTTGGGGGGGGGAGGGGGTTTAATGTGCAGGGAGGTTTAATGAAGAAGGAAATTCTAGTGTCAATTGCTATCATTTTCGTCTAGTAAAGACTATCATCGATGTTATTACACATTAATCTACTTTTCTGACTCCGCGTTTAAGTCTCCAAAAATATGCAAGTTTGAAAGGACATCAGTGCGTTGAATGATTGCACCGTCCCCTGCTTACCCATGAGAGGTTACGTTTTCGAATAGTTGCATCCTCCTTGGTCTACAAACTAGAATTAAATTAATTAAATAATAATTATTAAATTAATTAAATAAAGAAATTAAACTAGAATCTTTATACCTTCTAAAAAAGTATAGCATACGCTGGAAAATTAGGCTTGCGTGTAGGGACTTTTCAACTTAGCATTCTTAGTCTGAGCCGCTGAATGAAACACATTTCATCGGTCAATAAAATTTCAAACTCACGAACTCACCGTCTGATGTTGATGGATAACCTGATTCATCACACATTGGATGGGAAGTTGGCACATCTGATACGTAGAGCGGTTCATTCTTGTTTAAGTTCTAGTGTAGTATTTTAAAATTAAACAACTTTCAGGTGAGCCTAAAAAGAGATGAAATAAGTGCAACACCAGCAGCACTGCAGACGTGCGATTTGTAAATTTCTAGGGATAAGGTGTTTCAAGTTCAAGAGTAAGACAGAGGTTATAACGATGGTGACGGTGCAGAAGTGCGTATCTCGGAAAACACGATTTTCCATCAGGAGAGTAAAAAAAAACTGTCTAGGTACATTCCTCTTTATTGTTAGTAGGAGGGTAACAATTTTTGAGGATAACAAGAATAAGATGCTTTTTAGACTCCATCAGCATTTTGAATAATTTCTCGAATTGTTCGAAAATATCGGCAGAAATGCCGAGATTCGCGGTGTCGGCGCTAGGAATTGACACTTCTTCACGAGATATGCATTTTAGCAGTTAGCGTTTTAAACCTGTTGCTGGCGAATTTGGATCATTTTAGACTGAAAAAAGAGTTTCACGCTTCCAATTCCTTGTCAGATAAGCTTTAGTTTGATCTCATATGGCCAGATCAAGCATTGTATGATTGGAAAATGACATTTGATCACGAGATACGCAATCCGTAATTAGCGTTTTGAACCATGCTCTTGATCATTAAGATCGAAAATAGAGTTTATTCATACATAAAACTTGCTCAGAAGCTTCAGTTGATCCAATAAAATGAGTCACCAATAAGTGAATCAGAGAATTGGCTTCCTTGAGTAACTTTTACACCATAGGTAAGAAGGCAGTGCGTAGTCTCTAGAATATATCGTCTCTGCGTGGATCCTCAAAAAAGTATTTAATTAATACATTCTTTTTCCATTTTTCCCCCAACACATTGGCATGTATATCGTTAGAAACCTACAGCCATCTAGTGCCCGTAGAAACCCGATGGACATCCATGCTCGATCTATCCACACTCTACGCCTTTCAAGTGGACCAGTGGACAAAGTCCCTTTTCTTCAATTCTGTTTATTCACAGTTCATCGTCGAAAGCTCATTTTATCCGTGCGAAACTTTTTGAATTCAAAACCGCTTTTGAGTAAGTTGCAATCTTGTAAACGGCGACTCTCTCAGTCTTGCATAAGAATACGATGACCAAAGCAAAAAAACTTGAAAACCACAATCTAAATCGAGCGTTTGAACTCTCTCTTTTTTTAAAAAAAATAAGACTTACAGAAAAAAATCTTGGAACGTAAAATAATGTTCTTCGGGCATTTTTCTAAATTACGGCTCATTGAAGACTCCAAAATTCTGAACATTTCGAGTCAACGTAACAATTTTTGAGGATAACAAGAATAAGATGCTTTTTAGACTCCATCAGCATTTTGAATAATTTCTCGAATTGTTCGAAAATATCGGCAGAAATGCCGAGATTCGCGGTGTCGGCGCTAGGAATTGACACTNCACTATTCGTGCGTCATGACAGTCATTTTGCATAGCTGGCCAATTGAAGGCAAACCATTGACCCAGGCAACAGGGAACAAATTACAGCAATGTGATACATGTTTTTTGGGAAAAAAGACCTCCAGGGGTGCGACGGGCACCTGTTTCCTAAAAAACACGCATCACATTGCTGTAATTTGTTCCCTGTTGCCTGGGTCAATGATTTGCCTTCAATTGGCCAGCTATGCAAAATGACTGTCATGACGCACGAATAGTGGTATCAGCATTTTGCATTAAGATTACGCAGTGGGTTGAAGGCGCTCTTCTGTATCGTATCTCATTGGCCCTTTACAACGACGTTGACTCGAAATGTTCAGAATTTTGGAGTCTTCAATGAGCCGTAATTTAGAAAAATGCCCGAAGAACATTATTTTACGTTCCAAGATTTTTTTTGAAATTGCCACTCCCCCATTTTTACCAAAAATCTCGATTATATATTTTTCTCAGTTGGCCCAAATAAACAAACAAAAAAAAAAAAAAAACAAGCAAACCCTCATTCTTCCAAGTTATCATACATTTTCATCCTAAAAAGCCGTGAGCAATTATTGTCGTTTGTATTTACATGTGGACCAAATTAACTTCCGGTTTCAATCTATTAGTAAGTGGACCAAAACTCCCCTGTCGAAAAAACGCTCGGACGTAAGCTACTAGAAAAAACAGGTGCGCGAACAAAAATTTGTTGACGAAATGTCCTATAATCCCTACACACAGGGGCTGGCCCCCTAGGCATCCAAGGTGCACAACCCCCCGGGGGCTGCCCCACCTGGCATTCTCGAAGCATATCCCGAGGGGTTACCCCTCCTGACATCTATGAAGCCCTACCTCTGGGGGCTGCCCCACCTGACAACCAAGGAGCACAACCCCCCGGGAGCTGCCCCCCTTGGCATCCAAGAAGCCCAACCCCTCGGAGGCTGCCCCGGGAACTTTTCCCCATTTTTAGACCCCCCCCCCTCGTAACCTTAAGGCTGTTAGACCCCCCTCCCCCTAAAGAGTCTTACGTAATTTATGGAAGGAACTCTTATTTGTATTTTTCGTATTCCTTGCGGTCTTCATTACTTGGAATTCCTGATCTTAGAAATAAAAGAATAGATATGGCGCAGATTCTACCTCTAAAAAAAAAGGCGTTTAAGTTGGTTTGAGTTTAAAAGATTCCGTCTCTGCCCGAAAGGCGAGTGCGGAGAGTCTGCAGACAGGAAACATCGATGCTCCCGACTGCACACCAGACTGTTTTCGATGGAAATTCGGCAGGACTTTTTGTTAACCCTAACCTCTAAACTGTGTTATTTTAGTGTTGGGGATATTTTCAAGAAAACCGATATTTCAAACGATACGATATTTCTGAAAATATCGAATATTCGGGTCGATACGATATTCAAAATATCGATATTCTAAAATATCGATATTCTAAAATATCGGTATGAAAATATCGTATGTGAGTGTTCGATAATCACCCGCGATTTTTGAAACAGAATTTAAAAGATTGGGATATAGGAATCATAAAATGTATTTATAAATGACTTACACATCAATAGTGAGACTGTAAAAAGCCAAGGATCTCCATTGTACAACGTTGCAAATTTTCTATCAGACTTTTTTTTTTTAAAAAGTAGAAAGCNAACCCTTCAAATTAGTTTCTTATAATGATGTAAAGACCCCGTATACCAATTTTCAGCCAAATCGGAGGGGGTCGGGTTCCGAGCCTGGTACAGTTGACGTGGAATGACCCTTATTTGTATTTTTCGTATTCCTTGCGGTCTTCATTACTTGGAATTCCTGATCTTAGAAATAAAAGAATAGATATGGCGCAGATTCTACCTCTAAAAAAAAAGGCGTTTAAGTTGGTTTGAGTTTAAAAGATTCCGTCTCTGCCCGAAACATTGACGTATAATACAATCTAGACCGCGCATTGGGCCCGACTTTAGGCGGGGAAGGTGAGACAGCTAGGGGGGTAAAGACGCGCCTTCAGCCTAGTTGATACCGCCGGATATACGAGCTAAGTGTACCCGTATCAGGCAACGGCACTGGCAAGACTGGCATTTCCGCGAATTCCACCATTGTCTCGCCGGTACACTTAATGTGTGTTGCTGGGTTGCCTATCGTCTCGCTTGAATTTCGTAATGCGCGGTCTAGATTGTATTATACGTCAATGGCCCGAAAGCAACAACCGAAAGGCGAGTGCGGAGAGTCTGCAGACAGGAAACATCGATGCTCCCGACTGCACACCAGACTGTTTTCGATGGAAATTCGGCAGGACTTTTTGTTAACCCTAACCTCTAAACTGTGTTATTTATTTACAAATTTACCGGAGGTCTTACCTCATGGCCTTACCAGTTTGTAATGTTACCGTTACCTTTTCTAAGTGTTGTGCAGTTTGCAGTTATACTTGAGTCTCTATAATGTTTAGTCGAACGTCATGAACTGTTCGCAAGGTGCAGCTCTATTTAGGTGAAGTGGAATTTAAACTTGAAGTGTTAGTTACATCACTCTCACCATGGATCGAATGGACCATCACCGAATGAAATCATCCAGAAACAGACCCTCTCATGGCTCTTCCCTGGAAAAGATAATGGATAAGCGGAGAAAGGAGAGGGAAGAAATCAATCTAATCGGTGTCCCTCAGGTTTGGGGTAAATCACCCCTACGCACAGTAGAGTAGGTATTCATCATCTTCTTTTAGTTGCCACGCTAATATGAATGGTGTAAATAGCAAAGAAACCATTGAAATTTAAAGCACAGTCCATGAAAGCGCTGTGATGAACACGTGCTTATTTCGCATATCTTGTGTTTGTTGCAAATCCAGCAGGAGTATTTCACTCTGTTGCTATGGAACTTGATCGTCAAGCATCCATGAAATGCTTGTTCTCATCCTAATTTGGACGCACATTACTCTGACTCCTTCTGTATCACATTGTTGACTTTTGAAGAATGAAAGTATGTGCTATTAATAGCAACACACATATCAGCTGCCTTGCTAATCTCAGCGCGCTTGAAAATAGGAAACTACATGATGACGCGACTAAAAAGGAAACATTCAGCTGCCATTTCCAGCAAGTGCGTTGTTGTGAATCATTAACTTTACTAGCAACATTTTAGGGTAAATTTTGCTACCCATCATTTATCTTGACGATAATCTCTTATTATTATCGCATATTCATTTTTGTGGCCGGCTTCTATTTTTTAATTTCACTCAGCACTTCTATTGCCCATTGAAAGATCAGTTTTTCCTTTTTTTGTGTCGGTGGCTCTGTGATTGTGGTCATGAATTTGAATATAGTGGGCGTCGAAACAAGGACTAAGATGAATTCCACAGTCTAGCGGTACTCAGAACTTTCTGGATCACTGGGCAGTGGGCAACTCTTGATTCTCGATAGTACTCGCAAGTCGTCCAGCGGGAGTTTAACAACACTTCGCTTAGGCCACTAAGCAACTGAATGGGCAGTTTGCTAAGACTAAGAGTGCAGCTACATGCTGCTAGAGAAGACGAAATTTACATGCTAAAACTCAGTTTCAAGAAATGTAGGCATAGGAAGAATTTTCGATATTGCTCTTAAACGGGGCACACAACTTGTTATTCTGTGGTATCACTGCACCCACTAGCATAGACAGAACTCAAGGTGGATATAAATAATTGTTAACTTTTATTTCGGCTCCTTGTCTTAAGTTAAAAGTGTCCTTTATCCACTATTATTGACCCCCTAACTTTTTGACCTTCTCCAGGCGGCCCAATTATTGAATTAATGTCAATGCGACAAGACAAGACATAGCTCTATCTTGACCATGCAATGTATTGCATTTTGATGTCTTATCTGCAGCCTGATTGTTGAAATTTTTTGTTTGTCGGGACGACATAGATGACATAGGTTAAAAGGCAGAGCGTGATTGGTCGGCTATGTCTCTAGCTGCTTTGTCGTGCCTTTGTCAGGTGGAATGGACGACATACTTTCGGAGACTTAAGAGGTGCCGTTAGCTTATCGTGAGTTCAACCCGACATAGGCACGACAAAGCAGCGATAAGACATAGCCGACCAATCACGCTCCGCCTTTTAATCTATGTCATCTATGTCGTCCCGACAAAAAAAAAAATTTCAACAATCAGGCTGCTGGCTGCTTTAAAGTTTCAGTAATTGGTCCACAGATGCATATCGGACCGATATTTCAGATGAAGTCAATGCTCTGAGAAGCAGAATTATTTGTCCACTTTTTATTTCTCTTTTACTAGTGATAAAGCTTAATACTAATGGAGACATAATGATATATGATTTTACTTTGCAGATCAGACGATGAAGTTAAACCTGAAGATAGTCTGAAAAGGAAACATTCAGAGTTAGATAATAGGAAAAAGAAGAAGAGTAAATCCACCAAGCATAAAAAGGAAAAATCAAAAGGAAAGGAAAAGGTAACTTCGCAGCTTTTAACTTTTAATCCTTCATATTTATCAGGTTAAACTTAAGTCAATCGCTAACATCACAAATGAAAGTGAAAAGTGATTTAAGTGCTCTTTTTTAAAACTTTTATTAAACTCGAATTTAAAAATTATATCTGAACTGTAACCAAGCAAAATAAACAACAAAATTAACAAATTTTTACTTCATTACTTATTGTATTATTCATTTTTTTGCTCTTCAATTTTCAGAAAAAGAGTAGTCACAAGAAAAAACGCAAGCATAAACAGAAGAAGAAAAAAGCCAAATCATCGTCGTCAGATTCTAGTTCAGATGATTCAAGTAATGAAGAAGAAGAAGAAGAATGGGTTGAGAAGCAAGGTAAGCATGTCTTTTTTTCAACAACTTTAAACTGAAAACAACAGCTAACTTCAACTGAAACAATCATTTTGAGCCCCCGTCCTGATGTGTTTAACGCAAAATTTCATTTTCGAAGAAACTGTGTACCGTTTTTGAACTTGAAACCTCCACCTGTCATAACTCGAGTCTATTACTGGGCTATTTTTACGGGAAAATGTTCATATAATACCTCCCCATGCAGAGGCTCCATAAAAATAATTTGTCGCTTTTCAAAGCTTAAGGTTCTTCTCAGGGATGGTCTCAGTTTCCCCTTAATTTTTTACCCCACTCAACGTGGGAAGAGCATTCAACATTTCATGCAGTCCACCATCATTTCATTCAAATTTGCTCTATGCCGCAAATAGATCTCTCTGCACTGAGCTAATTACCAGTCACCAGCTGCATAACGTGTAAGATCAGATGATTAATTGACCCTATTTTTCTTGTTTCTTAGTCGGTGGATCAGAAAGCGACAATGAAATTGTTGGACCTCAACAGAAAGCAACTGTCACACTCTCAGCCAGAGACTTTGGTAAAGCTCTTCTTCCTGGTGAAGGAGCTGCCATGGCAGCGTACGTCGCAGAAGGCAAGAGAATTCCCAGGAGAGGAGAAATCGGTCTCACATCTGACCAGATAGAGACATACGAAAAAGTTGGTTACGTCATGAGTGGAAGCAGGTATGTCTTATTTCTGGCATTTCATCCACAGCATGTGTTTGTTATTTTCTATAAACTGAAGAATATGAGTGTTGAGCCCATTTTGCTTGGGCTGAATCTCTCCAATCCCCAAATAAGTATATCTGATAATCATTTTTTCGGGTTTTCCTTGTTTTGTTTTGAGAGTTGTTCAGCAGCAACGGTAGATGGCGCGAGGATCACACTTTTGCGTCATGCCTCGGGTCATATCCATGCTAGCGTTTTAATGCAGTCATGGATTTTGCGGCATGTTAAGTTGGCTTCACTGACGAGTGTGATCTGCTAATGAGGTCTAAAAAGACCCAAACCGGTATAGATCTCTCGCTGTGACTCCATCTTAATATTCCAATGCAAACTGCCTGACCTGAACCCTCTCCTCCCTCAGTTTTTTACTGGTACTCATTGGAGTTAAAAAGATTTATTTTTTACTCTAATTATAAGTTTTGGAACTTCTTAGCTTTAATTTCCCTGCAAAATGGTGTGGACCCTGCCCCATTTCTCCACTTTGTTATATATCGATAGCCAAAGTGCCATTTATCTTCATTGCAGTGTCTCAAAAGTTCCGCTTTTGTTTTACTTTTCCATTGAAAAACAAGCCAACTTCATAACTTGAAATTTATGCAGAATATTTTCTAATAGAGAAGAAAAATCAAAGAAGTTTTCAAGAAATTAAGTTGACTAGTTTTCCAAAGGAAAAATCAAGTATGACTGGAAGTCTGCAGTGCTCCAAAGAAAGGTTCGTGGTTTGGCTTTTTGAGCATCAATATTTTGAATACGCTTAATTTTTCAGAGAGCCAAACTATAATACTGCTTCTTCCTTATCTTCAGACTATGGGAAAAAACATTTAAGATCTCTCAAAAAGCTTGTTAAGGGTTTCTTTCAATGCATATTCTATTCTGTTTTTATTACTCATCTTCATATGAGTAAATAAATTATCTTCAGAGATATCTAAAATGTTAAAAGACTTTTTTATATATTTATTTCAAATTTCAACGGAGCGAGTCCCAATCACATAAAAAATAACAACAAAGGCAACAATATATGCAACAAAATGGTCTCAAAAGAATATACTTCATAAACACTTTGCGTGGAAAAGAAATGCAGCACTTGCTAAATTTCAAGACTTTTTTTATAAAATTCCCCCCAACTCCTGAGTAAGATGAAATTTTGAAAGTAAACTTTCCATGTGCGAATCTTATGAAAATTGCGAAATTAGCATTTTTTGGTAGTTTTACTTGGATTGAAACGTGGTAAAATGTAGATAATCGAGGAGGAAGCTCCTCTTCCTCATCTTAGGCTGGCCGAGGAGTGAAAACAGCACCTCAACTGAGCTTAAAACAAAAGGCTCCACATCTTCAACTCAACAGATATTTAGACCCAATTTTCCCAAGATTGGCGCATAGAAAGCTTCATTTTAAAAGCTAATCTTGCTCAGGAGATCCTGAGGATCAACAATATGTTAAGAAATCTTGAAATTTAGGTGCCTTCGACTCTCTCGGTATTCCAAGTGTAGTCTTTTGGGGCTTCATAACAAGTGGCGAAACTATGATTCTTTTTGAACCAGCAGATCTAATTGAATTAGTAAATATGACGGTGAACCTATTGGAATGTCAAGATCAATGGTCAATCGATCAGTTGATGATTTCTGAACTTCAATTAATTCTTTTAAAAAATTCCAAAAACTTGAATTATTCTCTAGTAATTTTAGTGTTAAAATAAAAATGTTGATTTCTGACTCTTCTTTCATCTTAATCTGTCTGCTCACAGTTGTTCACTCTATTTTTTTTTTTTTTTTTTAGTTTCTCTTGTATCAATGGGTTTCTTCCAATTTTCTATTTTGGCTTTTAGACATTGCAGAAAAAAACCCGAACATCAAAAAATCCCCTTTCACCATAATTGACTATTTCACCAACATTTGAATGTGTTTTTCTCCTTTTCAGGCATCGTCGTATGGAAGCTGTGCGTATCCGTAAAGAAAATCAAATTTATAGTGCTGATGAGAAGCGAGCTCTTGCGATGTTCAGCAAAGAAGAGCGGCAGAAGAGAGAAAATTTAATTTTGACTCAATTCAGAGATATGGTAAGCAGCAAACTGTCAGAGAACAAATGAACATTCTGACATGGTCCTCATCTTCTCTGAATTCAGCTTTTTGAGTCTCTAAGAGGTCGATTCAATATGTCTCCTAAAGTAGGATTATACAGATCAGGGAAAACTGGGAAAGCCTGAAATCTTAGAAGACTGCAAAAGGCAGAAAATTTTGAGAGTCAGAAAATTTTACAATTTTTAATTTTGTAATGGAAGCTAGACGAAGTTAGTGTAGGTGGCCGATTTATGACCCGCCCGTACACTACTTGGGAGGGGGATTTTATCCCTCTCCCCGGATATGACGCTTGGGTAAGAATGTTATGCTCTGTGTTGAGAAGCAAGCTCTTGCGATGTTCAGCAAAGGAGAGCGGCAGACGAGAGAAAATTTAATTTTGACTCAATTCAGAGATATGGTCAGCAGCAAACTGTCAGAGAACAAATGAACATTCTGACATGATCCTCATCTTCTCTGAATTCAGCTTTTTGAGTCTCTAAGAGGTTGATTCAATAAGTCTCCTAAAGTAGGATTATACAGATCAGGGAAAACTGGGAAAGCCTGAAATCTTAGAAGGCTGCATAAGGCAGAAAATTTTGATAGGGTCAGGAAATTTTACAATTTTTAGTTTTGTAATGGAAGCTAGACGAAGTTAAGGTAGGTGGCCGATTTATGACTCGCCCGTCGAGTACACTAGTTGGGAGGGGGATTTTATCCCTCTCCCCGGATATGATGCTTGGGTAAGAATGTTATGCTCTGTGTACTAGAAAAACCACTTATAGCCGTTAAAAAAAATTTATCGACCAAGCAATTGATATTTCTCTAACCGGCCGTTCATAAACGATTCATTACCATAGCTCTCATACAAATTTTTTCGGTATTGGATTGTTCATGCTCCCCCCCCTCCCCCCTTCCCCCTCCCTCACCCTTCATAGGTTATTGGTGTGGTTGATTTCAAGTTTGCAATATAGCATTTTGTGGTTGGCTGTACTGCCAGAACAAAGAAACTGAATCTTCTCCTATTTACATTGTTTTAAACAGCTCCCTGATTTTGAACAGTGAGTAAGATTTATGATCCGTGTGCTGTCAAAGCTACTGTAGTTACAAACTCTAAAATTACCTGCAATCCTCAGAATTTATAATAGGTCAATATGTTGATTGTCATTGAAATTTTTCACCAAAATGTGGCTCTGTTGATTTAGAATGTGAGAGAAAAAAGTGTGCAGCCTAGAAAAAAAGAAGTGTCTCGACTGTTGTTGACTGCAGTATGCCTGGCAAAATGTCACATCAAGACATTGAACTAAAACAGTTTTTACTAGTGACTGGCTGTACTTTGTAGTTAAAAGATATTGTCTTCGCAGGAGTTTTTTTTTTTTTTTCAAGTTCAAAATTGATTGACACCATTTAATCCTTAATTTCATTAAATTTTTAATTGAAAACTGTGTACTAAATTTTATTTTGGGATAAAAAAGGGTTGTAATCTCACACTTTACTCCAAGAGGGAACTGCGTGTAATGAACATAATTTGGCCTCAGACTTTCTGAAAAGTCTTGCAGAAATGCGAGCAAGAGACGAGACCGTCAGAAAAAAATAAACAAATAAAATTAAACAAAACCAACAGACATATTTAGTTGCAACTAATATTAAGTAAAAATATTAGCTTGATTCAGAAAATTTATGAATTTCTAGTACATAATTTTTCCGCAGCAAATTTTTTCAAATCCTCAAATCAATTCCAAGATTAAGCAACTTAAAAGTCTTTGAACAATAGCCTTGCCATATCAAATGTTTAATCATAGAAAAAATACAATTAGACCTTGAGTTCATCTTATCCAAGAAATTGCTTGATTCCTTCATCAGTTGATTATAATCTCTCTGACTTTTAGTCAAAGAAAAACTGACTTCTCAAAATGATATCTAATCATAATTCTTGTCTCTTTTATTTTTATGTGGGAAATAATTATATATACTTATCTTTCTGATGAAATTATTGCTCTTCTTACGCAAGGGCCAATCTCTGCCTCCTTGCAAGTTCCATGGCAAAGAGGCAGAGAGGTTGTCATGGCAAAGAGGGTTAATGTAGAAATGGAGATACACCTTCACATTAGAGGGACCTTTAACGCATCCTCTTACGTCTGCAAAAGTAGGTAATTACTGTTTTGTACATTTTAACAGCTGAAAAATCCTACAAGATGTTCCTAATTGAAACTAATGGTTGAAAACCTCTTTTTTTTTTTTTTGTTCATTTTGCATAATTATATGAGGTTTCCGTACTAGTCATTTCCAAAAGGTTGTTCTTTCTATTATCATCTTGAACTGTAAATTTTGTGAGTATGTTGTAAATAAACTGTTTTATCCAGTTACATTCTTGTTTTCTTTGAACCTTTTTTCAGTCCATTTTTCCCTAATTTGGGCTTGATGTACCTTAACTTTCAAAAACTTACCAGTGCTTTGTATGAAGAATTGAGGAAAACCATTGCACGTAAAACTCAGCTGTTTGAAAAAATTTAAGAACACATGGATCCTATTTTTATTCATCATCAGGTTTATTTTATGCAGTAATTTTGAGTTAAAATCTTCTCACCTTCATTTTTTCTTTCATTCCGGAGATAGCTCAGACATCATGATTCCCTGTACAAAGTTTTTTCAAGAACCATCGTGCATATTTACATCACATTTTGAACAGACTTCTTTAAAATCCTGAAGTACCTGATGAAACTGAAGCAGGAATTTTGGATTACTGCAGTGGGCAGAAAGATTTTTTGGCATGTTATTTCTGTGTCCTTAACATTTCCTGAAGGAAGCAACAGAGGTACAAGTAGGCACTTTTGAATTCCTTGTACTAGTCAGCAACCAGCTCCACACATCTTCCTTCCCTATTGCTTATAGACTTCACTCGGGAAATAATATATTTTTTGGGAGCAACTACTCAAATTCGTAGAGTTGATTTCCAATTGACGATGGACTTGTTAAACTGATGGGTAATTTTTTAATTTAAAAACTGAGGTACCTAAACTTGCTCTCAAGAGCACATGCCATAAAATTAGTGGAGGCTGAGTGTCTTGATTTCTCACCCATCTCAGGAAACGCCTTCAATTCGCTGGTATGCAAAACACCATGCTCCCGAATCAACGCAACCACTACTCCTGTGCCAGGAAAAACGCCGTGAAAACATTTATTAGCTTTCTGGAAATAAAATACTTATTTTTAAGGAAATGCTTGAGTACCTACCTATCTTATTTCTTCGGAATTTTCAGGTAGGTACCTCAGAATAAATTTGGAATAAAATCCTTTGAATAATTGGAAGAACAATATTTTCCGGGGTTTCCTTGTTTTGTTATGAGAGTCGCATCATATTCATGACGGCGGCGTTTTGATGCCCTTTTGGATTTTGCGGGATACTAAGTTGGGTTCCCTTTCCCTAACGAGTGTAATCTACTACGGGTAAACTCCAAAGAGGATGCAAATGGCACGGATTTCTCGGCGTGACCTCAATTTAATATTCTATTGCAAGTTGCCTGAGTTGGATACCCCCCTCAGTCTTGTACTGGTATTCATTAGGGCTAAAAAAATGTTGGAATTTCTTGGCTTCGTTTTCCCCGCGAAATGGTGTGGACCCAGCACCATTTCTTCACATTTTTACGAACAGTTTAGGTCATTTCTTAGTGCTTTTTATCTCTCTCCCTCTCCCGTCAAAGGCTATGATTTAGAAATATTCGGCGAAGACCTTCAATTTTGCAGTGAGTACAAACCATACCTACCCCAATAATTATAGCCATTAATCTCGTGATAAATTGTGTTGGTGTATCGGAACAGAGCAATTTTCGACTTTTGTAATCAAATAGGTATCTGATTTATTTCATTTTCGGTAGAATTTTGTGCGGAACAATACACACAACGTGTACTTGACCACTTGTGCCAAGCTAGTCTGCCGCGAAAACAAGTTTGAGCGGCAGAAAGAGCGCAATGTGAAGATCAAACCTACAGACGTTGTAAAATTCACTTTGACACAACATCATTTTTGAAGAAGTTTAAAATATCTTTCCTTGAAATTTTCAGAATCATTGGATTGTATATTACGCAGAAATTCTCTAAAAAAATTCAAAAATAAGTATGCTCGCAAGTTTTCTAAGAAATTCGTATCTAATTGGAGGACACTTGGCAACGTTCGAGTATTCATACGGTGGCGTCTATTCGTAACGCTTCAGTGTGAAGATCCGAGCATGGGACTCCGATATCAGTAATAACGCCTTAATTGATGCAACTATTCGTGTTCTGAGGACGTCCGTGTTGCATGCTAAAAAATTGAAGGCGCTCCGGTTATTCTAGCCCATGAAACAGTGCTCGCAGCAACACGCCGCGAAGTCACGACTCTATGTAGCGGTAGGATAAAATATCCTGATACAAGAAAATGTTGCGAAAATATCCTTTCCTGTCCTTTTGCCTTGGGATTATCGGAGTTTTAACACGGCTCAATGATTGACGTTGATGCACAGCGAGATTACTTACTTTTGTAGCCTGGCGTTGAAGTCTCTAAAAAGGTGTTGGAGCCATATAGCGTTTACTATCTAGAAATTAACATCTCTGAAAGTCCTAAGAAATTAATTTTCCCCCTTTTTCTTGTCTAACCTTCTCACGGAAGAAAATTCGGAAGAGGGGGGGGGGTCAAAACAATGAATTTGCCGGACGTGGAGCATAACTTAATGATTTAGATCAATAATGTGAAACGCCTCTTGAGGGAAAGAAATCGAGTTTTTATTAAGGTGATTCGGCGGATGCCATTTTTTGTTTCAGAGCGACGTGCGATGTATCGCATCGACTCGTTCCTTAATTTCAGCTACTTGTCATTTTTTTTCGAATTTTGAGATCGTACTTCTGTTGTCATTAGTCAAAAGAATTCATGTACCAAATTTGAAAAAGAAATTCAACCTACTAGAGGCGTGGTTTTTTAGAGGAAAAACCACACCGAAAAAAATAATATGCTGTTTTAGCACCTAGGATGTTAAAAATGTGTCTGGTGATCCGGAGTTGTTGTCTTTACTGCCCTCGCAGTTAACTTTACATCCTGTGAATGCAACTTTAACTCTGTAGGCGGTTAAGGCAGCATCTTGAGATCACCGGACACATTTTTAACATCCTAGGTGCTAAAACAGCATACTATTTTTTTCGGTGCACGCCTTTATTACGTTGAATTTGTTTGTCAAAATTGGTACGTCAATTCTTTAGTCTCGAGACAATGGAGTTGCGATCTCAAAATTCGAGAAAAATGACGAGTAGCTGAAAAAATGGAACCAATCAATGCGATCTATCGCATGTAGTTTTGACACAAAATATGGCGTCCATCGAATCACCTTAAAGTTAAAATTAGACCCTCCTCTTAGTTAGTTTTTATCAGTCACATATTCATAACCTGCGCCACACGCCCACACGCGGCTGCTGCGTGCACTGCTTTATGAAATGGAGTGACCGGAGCTCCTTCCATTTTTTAATATGCAACACGCGTGTCCATAGAGTACGAATAGTTGTATCTTTCAAGGCGTTCTTTTCAACATCGTTGAATGCGTTGCTTCCATCTCTTGAGATATCAGCATAAGAAACTCCGCCCCTTCTTATTCTACACTGCGGTGTTTCGAAATGTCCACCTCTATTTTATTATTTCGAGGAGGAGGAAGCCAAATATAGAGCTTGAAATTTTTACAGAAAATTCTGCTAATGGGGAAGAAAAATCAAGGAAATTTTTGATGAACTGCAATAGCTAGTTTTTCAAGAGAACCATGAAGTATGACAAGAAGTCGGAAACGAAGGTATGTGCTTTCGCACTTTGGCCATCGAAGTGGGAAGCTACGCAACATATTATTGCTTCGAAATTTTCTTTGAATTCTTCATAGAGTTAAAAAATCACACTAACGCATAATTTCCAGGGAAAATGGTGCTCCGTTATCTTATTTAAAAAAAATTAACATATAAGAGGAAATAGAGGCGTTGGGTGCAGAAACATTACTTGGTTACGGTGTCTCAAAGACCCCACTGATAATGTATACTTTAGAGAGGAAACTATTCAATCCTGGTTCAAATTGTCAGTAGAATCTGTGTTCCAAAATACCATAGACCTACAGCCGGCTGTGAGATTTCCAATAGCTTCTATAGCCGGATGCACACTTTCTTATAGCCTTTTATAGCCGATGGCGATTAAGCAACAGCCTGGCGATAAAGTGTATGATAAACGATACTAATTACGGATTCTAGGACTTAGTGAGTTTTTGGCCTACCGCTCTATTTTTGGGCCGTAGTATCTTAATTTATTTTGTGCGGATTGCTCCGTACTTTTGAAGGATGCCTGCCATTCCTAATATGTTGGAGCGCCTTCAATTTCGTATGATACTGTGCAATACCTCTGGTGTGAAATAGTTGCTTCAAGCGCCGTGGCACGCTGCGGTGCGGCAGGCAGGCAGCTAGCGGGAAACGCGCATTGGCGCCTACAAAACTAACAGGGATACTTCACGCGTTGCGCAATGCGTGAAGTATCCCTGTTAGGTTTGTAGGCGCCAGTGCGTCGTCGCTCCGCTTTGTGTTAGGCTCTAATATTTAATCTCGCGGAGTCAGCGTTTTTCAACTCATGACTTTGAAATGTTTGCACACTTTGTATGGATAATTCTCATTTTAATTCATGAAAAAAAAATATGAGTAAAGGAAAATATAATGTGCGTTTTGTAAATATTAAGGTGATTCCGAACAAACTTAAGGATTTACAAAGAACACGAATTTCTACACAATATCTTATAGCCTTTTATAGCCAATGGCGAAAAAGCAACAGCCAGGCGATAAAGTCTAAAGCCCGGCGATAGGAACTATAGCCCGGCTGTATAATTTTTTATCGCCTCGTGTAGTCCGACCGTATGGTCTTTTCCACATTCTACAGCCAGCTATATGATTTTCTATCGCCTTCTTCAGTCGGCTATAAGAATTCCTATGGTATTTTGAAACGCAACTCCTATCGCCAACTTTTACCAGAGAATGGATTTGCTGAACTTTGTCGTTTTCAGCAATGAAAAATTATGAAGAATATTCCGTAATAATTGCAACGAATTCCATGCAATTTGCTTCAATTATGATGAATGAAACGGTGGCGGAGATTCTGAAGCAAAGGATCACAAGTGCCATGCGACGTTTCAAAATTTCCGCCGTCATTTTATTTTTGTGCAGAGAAATCGTTCGACGAGGCTGTGCGAAAATTTTGCTGAATTTTCTTTGTGCTGACGATAAAATCTAGTAACAGATTCAACCAAAAATTTCTCTTTAAAAAATAAAATGGCGGCGGAAATTTTGGAACGTCGCATGGTGCTTGTGATACTCTGGCCGGAAG